ACGACGCATCATATTTAAAAAGTGTTGATTGTATCATGATAATGAATCAAATAGTTGAAAACTACATAGAGAATAAATTATCATCGGTTAGGTGGTAGTTTTGGTGTACTTAAAATACATCAATATGACTCAATACTTTATGAATAACTCCGATCTGTTTTGACACATAATTTTTTTTTCTTCTCGATGTAAAATATTTTCTTTGATTCAGTTGATTCATTTCTATGTTATTAATGAAAACAAATGAAAAACTATTATTTTAGATGATTTATATCACACAATAATTTGAGAATAGATCAAAATTTTTGTTTTCATATATCAATTCATAAAAAGTAACATGAATTTGTTTTTAGTTTAAGAAAAATAAATGAAAACAATTTGGATAGAATATTAAATAGTCCAACAACTTCAAATGATGATCAATTGACGTCATCCGAATTAAATAATGATTCATTACATGATAATTTAGAGAATCAAATAAAAGATATTTGATCTAATAATAATGATAATGATAAATAAACAATAAATAGAATTCGTCATAGAAAGGGTGTGGGTGTGGGTATCTTCTCGTCCTACCCACACCCACACCCTATCATGAATTTGTTCAAAAATGAAAGGCGTGTATTTACTCTCCGTTTGACTCATTAGAGTTTTTTTGGAAGTATAAATAGTGAATAGATGAAAGTATACCTTGAGAGAAAATCAAGTATATGATAGATTTCAGTTTTTATTTAAATAAATCAAAAAAGTAAATAAGGATTCAAAACGAACAGTTGCGTTTTGCCATCATCTTAACAGTGTATATGAGCGTAGATGAGTGAGAACATAAATGTAGAATAGGAGCCATTTCAATCTATAATCACATTCATACACTCTTCCTTAAATACTTTTATAGAAGCGTTTATGATTAAATAGTTTTATGGTAAAATTAAAGTTTATGTTTCAGTTTAAAAAGACGATGTTCCTGTTAATGTTAATTAATATAATTCAGCACTATTCAGATAAGTACTACTGTTGGCCAGTCCACCAGTAACTAATATTTGCCCATTTGCTAATGTGGATGCTGTATGATATTGTCGTGCAGAACTCATGTTTCCTGTAGTTGTCCAAGTACCTGTTGATGGATCATACAATTCAGCACTGTTCAGATAACTGGCACTGTTGTATCCACCAGTCACTAATATTTGCCCATTTGCTAATATGGATGCTGTATGATATCCTCGTGGAGAACTCATGTTTCCTGTAGTTGCCCAAGTGCCTGTTGATGGATTGTACAACTCAGTGCTACTGAGATAAGTCGAACCATTATATCCACCAGTAACTAGTACTTGCCCATTTGTTAATATAGATGCTGTATGAGCATAACGTGCAGATTTCATATTTCCTGTAGTTGTCCAAGTACCTGTTGATGGATTGTACAACTCAGCACTATTGAGAGAACCATTAATATTAGATCCACCAGTAACTAATACTTGCCCATTCGCTAATGTGGATGCTGTATGAGCATCACGTGCACAACTCATGTTTCTTGTCGTTGTCCAAGTACCTGTTGATGAATTATACAATTCAGCACTATTGAGAAAACCACCACTATATCCACCCATAACTAATACTTGTCCATTTGTTAATATAGATGCTGCATGACTATCACGTGCAAAGTTCATGTTTCCTGTCGTTGTCCAAGTACCTGTTGATAGATTGTATAATTCAGCACTATTGAGATTACTACCCTTATATCCGCCAGCAACTAATACTTGCGTATTTGTTAATACGGATGCTGTATGAGCTAAACGTGCAGAACTCATGTTTCCTGTAGTTGTCCAAGTGCCTGTTGATGAATTGTACAATTCAACACTATTCAGATAAGTCGAACCGTTATATCCACCAGAAACTAATACCTGTCCATTTGCTAATGCAGATGCTGTATGTTTATATCGTGATATAATCATGCTTCCTGTAGCTGCCCATACTAAATAATGTAGACAAGTGAGAGTAAAGCTATTCTTGGAACAATGTTAATTCAGTCATATAACATAAGTTGTTTATCTATGGTTTGCGAACTCAATGATTATAAGACGTTTTAAACTTTTCTTTGTTCTCATGAAGGAAATAAAATATATATGGAAATATTAAGTCAATTCTAGGAAATAGGGATATTAATGATTCTTTAAATTTTAGAAAGTGAATGATAAATAAAAAGAGAGCATTCCTTAAAGTCAATAACGTTCATCACGCATGCAAGACTGAGTGAATCTTCATTTACGATAATTATCGTCCAGGTAATTACAAAACATCTAGCATATTACAGACCTCGTACTGCTATTGATGTTGATGATGTTGTTGTTGATGATGACGACGATGTTGTTGTTGATGTTGATGATGATGACAATAATGTTGATATTGATGATGATGGTGATGATGTTGTTGAAGTGATCTGATCTATATTGGAAAAATGAGATTAAAAAGGAGAGTGGATAATCTGGTGAGGCTTCACCCAAAATTTTGCATACATTGTTCTACTAATAGTTTATTTAATTATGAGTGCATTGTGATAAATTTTACATAAGTTCCAATGGATTTACAAAACCTTGCGACTTATATAATGCTTATTTATAGGTATGCTTGTATCAGAATAGTTCAAATCCGTAAACTTGCACGAAATGCGACTTTAACAATGGTTCATTTGGAGTCCTATACAGCTGTGAGGGTGAAAAATGATGATAGAACACTTGTTATCGAGCAATTAGATGAGAACATCCTCGAAAACAGCTGCTGAGCATCAAAACTTTTTAAGAGCTAAAAATGTGTTTTTATATTTCAGTGGCCGTGATGTATTCGACTCTCTTACATTTTAGAATATACAATAACAAATAAATCTCTTTTCGACATATTAGGTTTGTTGCATCTATCGAAAGTAATATGTAACTAACTTAGACATTAACCTCGGCCATCTGCAACAAATAAATAAATCTTCCGATCGGTTAATACTCGTCTAGATTGATGAATGTTAGTATCAATCTGAATATGAGGTCGACATGATGCATTTGAAATGGCGAATCTAAATAATATTAACATTCTTCTCAAACCTCTAACTGCCTACAATAGAAAAGGTGAGATTTTGACCGAAAAAGAAATCTTACAAATTTTTTTCAGATATGTTAATAGCTCGTTGAATAGTGACACTAAGTATTATTTCTTTTAGTACAATTTGCACAAAAAAAACACATCGTTCAATGGCAAAACGATGATTTTATCACAGTATTTATAATATACTTACTCTGTGCTATGAATATTACTGATTGATTCAGAAATATCAAAGAAGAATTGAGGCTAAATTCAGTTACGATCGAAGTATAATTTGTATAAAACAATTGACAAGTCTGATTTGTTGAAAAATAATTTAATGTTGATATGATTCCATTTGAATTTATCATTTCGCATATACACTGACTTTGTGTTATATTCCATAATGATTTCGATATATTACCGATCAATATATTATTATCTATTTTACCGATAAGAATGCAATCACCACTTGAAAATACCAGTAAAACAAAAAATATCCAAAACATCTTTTACGACTTGATATTTTAAAATTCTTTCATAAATGTTTTAGTAACTAGCATTACTGTTTTTCTTTTCTTCCATTTTCTGCAACTCTCTTGTTTAATATTTAATCACCACAAAAAAGAAATTGCTGTAGATTGTTAGTCAGATGTCTGAGAAAAAATAACTACAGTCATGACTAGTATATATACACAAAGCGAGTAGAATAGCTACAAGGAAAAAGATTTGACTGTAAAAGAAGAAAATATTACCTCAGTTTTTTCAGCCATTTATAGAATTAAAATTAGCATCATCAAATGAATAGAACAAAAAAAGAAAGTTTTTTTTGTGTATATGAAATAGCTTTTTAAAATTAAATTACTATCAGGATACTCATTCAATATTATGAAAGAAAGGAAGAAAAAAAACTTGTGATAATTAACGAATTGCTTTATCTAAACGTATCAGTCATCACATGTGTTGTTGCAATAGAATGTTGTAGAAAAAGGGAGTGTTATTTTCTGAGTATTTCATATGTAATAATAGACATCAGCGTTGTCATCAATAATAATTAAATAGATTTGATCGAATATCGGACTTTTGGCTTTGTATAATTTTGTCAATCATATTAGATCTCTACAAACATCAGAATTTAAAAATATAACATGAGAATTGTTATCTTACTTACGATCAATTTGATTGTAAAATCGATTTTTATAAATAAATTTCTGTCTTGAAGAAGTACCTTCTATTTTAATATATTATTCAAGAAGATAGTGATAGGTGATCTTTTAAAAAGAATTGATTTACTAATTAGAGTGTTCAATTGCTATCGATAGCTTTGATGCAGCCAGTAATAAGAAAATATATTTATGACGTGTTTCAAGTCGACTACAAATAACATTGGTATTGAATTGTTCTTAACATCGTGTCCATCGACACTGGCTCATGCTCAAGTTGTTAAAACCATCTTGAGAATGTGAGTGTGAATGTGATTGTGGTTCTGGATTTCTCTTATCGACTTAGACCCACACCCAACCCTCAAGATGAACTAAGATAAAATTCAAATTTGATAGAATATATCAATAGAATTTCATATATATATTTATTTGTAAATAAAAGTATTAATTCTGTTCCTCAATTACTTTCATATATATGTATATACAGGTACTCTATTCATTTAATATAGATGAGTTTATGAATGGTATGAATTATTTTTTTAATATTGCAACACAAAGAATAAACCATTTTGTTGATAGAATAAACTTTTCCTCTCCTTTTATTCTTCTATGTTTCTGTTGAGTGTCTTTTTTTCTAATCTAATACAACGAAACTCTACTTGTACAGACATAACAATGTAAAGGTGTGTACCCAACCAGAACAAAGTTTCAGTAGAGACACATTTTCTTTTTCATCATTTTTATATTACTTTCCCAAAAAAATATAGAAAGAAGTTATAATTTGTGTTTTATGTTTTCGAGGTTTTTTCTCCATTGTTCAAGATTAGGATGATTTGCTGCTAATGATTGTTGTCCAATTTGTACAGCACGTTCATAAAATGAATGAGCTTTTGAGTAGTTATTCATATTCTCATTCACGACACCGATATTGTTGTAGGATTGAGCCAAATGAGGATGATTGGAAGGAAGTGATTCTTGTCGAATTGCAAGGGCTTTTTCATGAGATGAAAGTGCTTTTGGATAATCACCCATGTTATCATA